GAGGGTTAACTACACCTGGCAGACACTGAGGGTTAGCTATGCCTGACAGACACAGCTGAGGGTTAACTATGCCTCACAGACAAAGTAAAGATTAATTATGGCTGACAGATACTGACAAGGGTTAGCTATGCCTGACAGACACTGCTGAAGGTTAACTATGGCTGACAGACACTGATGAGGGTTAACTACGCTTGACAGACATAGCTGAGGGTTAACTACGCCTGACAGACATAGCTGAGGGTTAACTACGCCTGACAGACACTGATGAGGGTTAACTATGCCTGGCAGACACAGCTGAGGGTTAACTTCAGAGCAGATAGGCTGTATGGAGGGAGAATGTTGTGTACGGTTGATTGTTTCCGTCGTTTTAGTCCAGCATCGGCTGGAAGACATCCACATGTCTGAATTTGGACATTCAACACATAAAATATTCACTTTATTTCTCCTAAAGTCACAACTTCATTAATAAATTAATACTATAAGATTGTGGACCTTTTGTTGTAAATTATAGAAAACATTTGGGAGGAATTTACTCCTTTCGGTTTTAATGCGCAAAAAAAAACAAAAAAAAAACAAAAAAAAAACTGAGTGGATTTGAAATGGAGAATCTGCAGATTTCTGGACGTTTTTTTGATCGCTACTTTACTCTGGTTTGCTGAAAGAAAAGTCCCAACAGCATCCAGAGGTCTCGCTGTTTTAAAAACAAAAAAACGCCAAAGATCGACGGCTGCTGGAGATTGTGCAGTTCTGACCCGTTTCCTCGCAGCCACAGACTAAAACTGTTAAAAGGCAGCAGAAGCAGGAAGAGATGAAAGGAACTTGGACTGGTTTTCTCTCTTAGTGATTGTTTTCACATCTCTGGGACGGAGCGAGCACAGTGCGGACGGCCGGTTGCCGCGACAACGCTTCGGGTCAGAACCGCGGCGTGCTGCGGTCCGCGGTGTCGGCCTTCTTCAGCTTGCCTTTGCTGAAGGTCTGGATGGAGCTGAGCAGCGCGGCCCGACCCGGAGGAGGAGGAGGAGAGGAGGAAGAGTCCGGCGCTGTGGGTGGGGGCGGAGCCAGAGGAGGAGCTGGAGGAGGAGGAGGAGGAGTCGACCCTGGAGCGACAGAGAGGAAGGAGCGTTAGAGAGGAGCTGCTGCTGGTTTCACTGGGAGCTGCTGCTGGTTTCACTGGGAGCTGCTGTCACTAAGAGTCTGGTTCTGGATTCGGGTTGCACCAGATGGACCTTTAGGACCTGATGGGACCGGAAACATTTCCTGACTTTAGCTCCTGATCTTCAACCATTTTCTACAGATCTAACTCATTACCTGGTTCTTCTCTACGTTTCCCTTCTGATATTTTCTGCCGGGCCGCCATTAGCCGCACCAACGTTTGGTACCAACATTTGGTGCCTATGCTTGGTACCAGTGTTTGGTGCAAGCAGGTCTTACCAACGCTTAGCACTAGTGCTTGGTGCCAAAGTTTGGTACAAATGTTTGGTGGTGGTGACTGGTACCAACATTTAGAGCCAACAATCGGTGCCGATGATTGGTGCCAATATTTGGTACCGGCAATTGGTGCTAGGGTTCAGCATAAACGTTTGGTGGCAGCGTTTGGTACCATGTTTGATAATGCCATTTGGTGCCTGTATTTGGTTCTGGCAATTGTTTCCAACATCTGGTATCAACATTTGTTGCTTGCGATTTGTGCCAGTGTTCAGTACCAGCTTCTGGTGCCCGAGTTTGGTACCAGCGTTTGGCAACCATATTGTTCTGAGTGGCGCCCAGACAATTTAGCCTGATAGTGAGGTTAATGGAGTATTAATTAAAACAGCCAGCAGTCACTTTGCTGGTGATCCATCTAGGACAGGAAGTAACTATGAAGCTTTGTTTTTATCTTTGTCGCCATTCGAAGGTCTAAAACTAAAGTCTGGACTTTGGATCCCTTCCAGCCGCATGGGAACCAAAGCTTTTAAAACGTCAACACTGAACTGAGGGTAAAAACATCCCTCAGGATTGTAGAGGTGGAGAACCTCATTTAGTTTATGGATGAATAATGAAGAGAAATGGGAACAAGATGCTAAATATCTTATGCATTTTCATTCAGCTACATATTTTTCAGAAAACATACTAGGCCTGTTGCAATAATCAGTAAATCATATGATAAATTAAAACAAGCTCAATATATCATTTGCATGATTCATTGTTGAAAACTGGATGATAAAGTCTCCAGTCTGGTGTTTTGGTCTCAACAAGCTCGTTTTTTAAGGATAATTTTGTTTACAGAGACTCCATAATTAATTTTATTTGTTGTTCTTTTTTTATTTATTCAATTTGGATATTTAAAACATCTTCCAGTTCCGGTGCTGAATGTTCACTAGAATTTAAAGTTTATTGGTCTTTGATAATGTGGTCTTGAATTATCATTATATTACTTGATAATGGTTTCAAATCAACAATGTTATTATTTATCACAATAATAATTTCTGGGACAATTTATCGTCCAGCAAAACATGTTGTTGTGACAGGCTGGCCTATTATCACTCTCTTCTGTTATTTTAGGTTGTGAAATCTAACTTGATGTGACGATATGGAAGAAATCTCTTTGCTAAAATGAAAGCATTTTCTTGATAATTCAAAGTCCAACTGAGGAAGTTTTCCAGGTTGATTTTTTCTGAAAGCAGCTCCCAGAGACCATCAGCAGGACTGAACTCGATCCACCATCAGCTCAGTGCAACATTTAAATCCAGATTTCAATGTTGCCTCAGACTGAACCAGAGAATCGGTCTTCAGTCTGGACACTGTCAAGTTTTCTGAAGCGTCTCTAGGAAGTTTGGACCGCAGGAGCGAACCGGGCTTTTGCTTTAAAGAGCTGCTGCTCTCGCTGTGAGTTTTAGTCGTTTTACGTTCTCACAGCAGGGGAAAAGCCAGCGCCCGAACTCAAAAAAGCAAAACGTGAAGCTAATAGCAGCCAGCGGCTAGCAGGTTTGACATCTCAGTGAAGCTGGCCCTCCACCTTCTTCAAGTCCAACAAAACTGGTGTCAATCAGCTTGACTACCTTTGTGCTGCTTTTGCTTTGAAGATATTAATGAAAGTTTAAAAGTCAAAGGGTCAACCAGTCCCCTGGCATTACCCACATGTAACAAAATTGGTGTCAAATGTTTGCAGAAAAACATTTCTGTGGCACTTTATTTGAAAGGATGTGAAAAAAGACTGAAATGGACAGTCGTAACATGAAGGGGTTTTCATGAATGTTTACGAATGCTGTCATTCTGTAAATAATAACACTTTTAATGCAAAGTCAACGCTGTTAATTATCGGCTGATCGGCCGATGCTTTCATGTGAAGCCGATCTTCTCTTATCTACTTTGGCAAAGGTCTAAAAATCTGCCGGCTCAACTGACGCTTTTAATACAAGTTTTAATGAAACTTTGCATTAAAATGTCGTTATTTACCAATTCACACTTCATGGCAACAGCCACAAACATCCATGAAGACTCCTTCATGTTTATGACTGTGGCATGTCGGTTTCTTGCACACCCCTTTCAAATAAAGTGTTACCAAATTTTCATTTGTGTCGCTATCCTTTTAAAGGTATTAAAAACAAGTTTCCAGAGGTCATCAGAGGTCAACTCCCTAACCCCAGCTCACATCTAAAAATTAAACAAATTTGGTGTCGATCAACTCAGCTATATTTTTATATTGATGATGACCACTGGAAATGTTTATCTTTAATATGATAGCGGCAAAAACAAAAAATTTAGTTGCATAAATGTTTGACACCATTGCTATTATATTTGAAGAAGGTGGAGGCTCCACCTTCAGCCAGCAGATGGGCGGCGCCGGGCCTGGAGAAACTCGTGCTCATCTCTCGGAAAGCAGCAGAAACTTTCTCCAGGACGAATCATCATTAAAAGGATGCCTCAACAAAAAACAAAAACAAAAGATGGGTGCAGCCAGGAACCTCTGAACATCTCCTGAAACACTGTCGAAAGAATGAAACTGAGTTTTTAGATACAACTGACTGTCGCTGCCTTTCACCGAACGTTCAGACGTTCAAGCATCTCTCTAAAAATAACTTTTTAACTTCTAGTTCACATAAAAATACTCTGATCATTAACTGTGGGAACCACTAACTCAAAACGTAGCTGCGCTAACCCCTAAAGTGCAGATCATAAACATTAGTCTGGCTAACGCGCTACAGTAACACGGTATTTAGCGGAAGCTAATGCTAAAGCTCTAATGTCAATTTAAATTATATTTGGCCTTAAAAGACTACGAACCTCCTCAACAATTTGACATATTTACATATTCTACACCACCTGTAGATCCTGTATTTATGTTATTATCTTGTTCTCTACTGTCCATGATTTATTTTGTTCCAGTATGACATAAAGTTATTGGGGGGGTGGAAAGAAAAGTGAGAAGAGGAAACAGAACTGCTTCATAAACGCCTTCAAAATAAGACCGTGAATATGAACCACTGACTACTTGAAGAATCAACAATTCTTCAGCACAGATGTCAAATTTTATTCAGCTGAAAGTTAAAACAGGAGAGTAAATTAGCATTTTAAAGTTTAACTGGAAAAATTAATTTAGGGGAAGCTAACTGCGCTAAACACCTCAAAGTCAGCAAAACGCTAGATGAAAAATGAATGTGCTCACCACTGCTAATTAAAATGCTGCCTAAATGACATCTTTGAGATAAAAATGTTTAAAATGCAGATATCTGGTTTGAAAAAGAACAAACTTGTGTTTTCTGTCATGACTGATGATAAAAAATCATAAACGTTTCTGCTATTAAGGCTTAAAATCAACTTAAGGTCCAAGTATGTAGAGGCTCTGCAGACCTGATTCACACAGTTGCTCAGTTTTATTCTCTCTGACAGTTTAAAGATGTAGAAAACTGCATCCAAAACATATAAAAAAACATCTGAATAAATATTAGTTTCAGCACAAAAAAAAAAAAGAGCGAATGCAAAATAATTCAGAGCTAATAGAGCAAATAAATTGAAGTTCAACAGGTTTCCTAATGGGAAAGGTCTAAAAAAGTTCCTGTGACTCCACACAGACACCCATGCAGAGACGGATCACAATCTGCAACGGGAACAGGAGGAAGGAAGCTGGATGCCATTGGAGATTGTGAGGTTTTTAAAAGCGTACGCCCTGATGGGAGCAATTGCCGCCGAATTGTTGTGTGCACTGTTCGAGCGCAGCCATCATTTTCAACTTCAGGCGCCAACATATTAGATATCTGCTGTTAGATCAGGGCGTACGACGGCTTTAAAAACCGACAGACGTCCATCATCAACAACAACATTTGGTTTATTTTACTTTACCCAAAGACACGGTCAGAATGGAGCATGCTCTATGGTGGAGGAGAGAGAGGGAAAAGATGGCCGTTATCGGGTCATCGGACCAATCAGCATCGAGATTTAACCACCAGGAAGTGGAGGAAGACCTTGCTTCTTTCCAAGCAGCCAGGATTTCTAGAAACATCTCAGTTATTCTCTGGATCCAGCGGCTGGAAAAAAGTATTCACACCTTCGTCTTGTTACAATAAATCAATCGATCGCGTGATAAATTAAAGCGCTCAATAATTTCAATTTCCATTAGCCTGATTTATCGTTCTTCTCTTTTTACCAACAATTGGATGACAAAAGTCTTCAGTGTGATGTTTTGGTGTCAACTAAAACTTTTTTGAAGGACAATTTTGCTTACAGACACTTCATAATTCATTTTATTTGTTGTTTTGTTTATTTATTTTGGATATTTAAAATGTCTTTCAGTGTTAAATATTCCTTAGAATTTAAAGTTTATGTTTAATAGAAAATGGTGCAGGATTCACTCAGGTTAATCCGAGCCATAAAACTCCATCGGTACTGAAGTATTTGGAAAATGTTGCTGGGTGTGAATACTTTTGCAGGACGCCTCATGTTTGGCTGCTTAGAGAGAATGTTCATCTAAAAAAACACACCAGAGGAGGACACCTGCCTGGAGACGTCTTGGTGGGACAGGAGACAGACAGACAAGTCCAGTTAGACTACATAATCACACATGCAGGGTTTCAAAACCGAACACACACATGTTGCTACTGATCTGAGCTGCAGCACAGCCTCCACCAGCGGGGGGCGCTACAGCCTGTCCAACCCTTAAAGAGACAGAAAGACAAGTGTACCTGTAGCGGGAGGAGGGGTGGGGGAAGAAGGACAGGTGGGAGGTGAACTGGCTCCTGAACCTGGAGGAGACAGAATAACACAGCCTGGGGTCATGACCTCTGGCCTCGAACGGGGAGGCAGTTCCTCAGGATACAGACACATTTAATGTTATTGACGTTTCAGTTTCATTTTATGTATACACATATTGTTTTACAAACTCCATGACACCAATTTAGCTCAGTTCCTCTGGTTCTGTATCAGTTTGTCTGCTGCTCATAATTATTTGATGCTGATGTGTTAAAAGACGAAACAAAACCAAAGTAAAATATCATAAGATGATCAACATTCCTCATTTTGACACTGATTTTTGTTGTTCTTATATAAATTTTTTATTCTGGTAATATGACTAGTATTTTTTTGGCTGCTTCATTCCAGTAAATGTTGAGGAGAAGGAAGCGGTGTGTGAGGTCGTGACCTACCAGAGTTGTTGTTGTTTCGGACAGAGACGTCCTCTTCGTTCTCACACGTCGACTGTCTGCATTTCTGCAGGGACAAAAACGGCTTCAGAGACGTTTCTGCCCAGAATCGTCAGATAAACGCTGAACCTGAGCAGCAGGCGCTAAGCAGCTGCTCCGTGTCCGACCTTTCTCGCCAGGATCTTCCTCCTCTTCTTCTCCTCTTCAGAGCCGTAGTGAGACTGAGCTCGGGTCAGCCGCCGGTGCTGATGCAGCTGCAGAAAGACAGAACCACTCGGTCAATCAATCAAGCTACAGCTTTCAGCAACAAAACAGATCAAATTGCTTTACATCATAAAAACACAAAACTACAAAGTCACAGAATTAATGCAAAGTCAGCAACTGAAATATTACATTTTGTCATCGTTACACATCAGATTATTGATTAATGTTTCATTTATTACGTTTCAGAAGCAGCTCTAAACAGCTGGATTTTAGATTTAAAGAAACTCAGTGTTTCGGCTGTGTTGCAGTTTTCTGGAAGTTTGTTCCAGATTTATGATGCATAGAAGCTGAATGCTGCTTCTCCATGTTTGTTTTTGGTTCTGGGGATGCAGAGCAGAACAGGAACCAGAACCAGAACCAGAACATGAGAGATCTGGAAGGTTGATACAACAGCAGCAGATCTTTAATGTACTGTGCTGCGAAGCCATTCAGTGACTTATAAACCAACAACAGGTTTTTAATGTCCATTCTTTGAGCTACAGGGAGCCAGTGAAGGACTTCAGAACTGGGTGATGTGATCCGTCTTCCTGGTTTTGCTCAGAACGCCAGCAGCAGCTGGAGGATTGATTTTTGTAGGCAGAGCTGTTGCAATAATCCAGGGGTCACCAACTCCAGTCCTCCAGGGCTACCGTCCTGCAACTTTTAGATGCGTCTCTGCTCAAACACACCTGGATCAAATAAACTGCTTGTTTCCAGCCTATTGCAGAGAGGAATGAATGCTGGTGAAGAAATTCAGACATTTTGGAGCAGAAGTGAATCTAAAAGTTGCAGGATGGTAGCTCTTGAGGACTGGAGTTGGTGGCCCCTGCAATCGATGCGACTTAAGATAGAAGCATGGATGAGTTCATCCTGGAAATGTTCTGCAGGTGATAGAAGGCTGATTTTGTAACTGTCTTTATGTGATTCTGATGGTTCAGACCCAAATTTTAGCCTGATCTCTAATTTCCAGCTGTTATAACTGCAGCTGTGGGTTGATTCTAGATCGGGGTGGGCACCTCCAGGCCTCGAGGGCCGGTCTCCTACAACTTTTAGATGCGTCTCTACTTTAACACACCTGAGTCAAATAATGAGATCGTTAGCAGGACTCTGGAGAACTTGACTGCACTTTGGAGGTGATTCAGCTGTTGGATTCAAGTGTGTTGAACCAGGGACACCTAAGAGTTGCAGGACACCAGCCCCCCGAGGACCAGGATTGCCCACCCCTGCTCAAGATCATTCCTCTTTAGGTCCAAAGATAACAACTTCAGTTTTGTTTCTGTAATAACTCAGGTTGTCCAGAAAACTGCTAACCACGTCTGCAAAGCGAAAGCTGCGCGGCGACCAAACCCAGCAGAACCCACCATCCTCTGCTCTTCATGCAGCCGCTTCTCCAAACTTCCCTTTGCCGACTTCAGCGCCTCCTTCAGGCGGCTGGGAACCTGACGGAGGACAGACCCGGTCAGGTTTCTGATCATTTCTGAGCTACGATGCTTTTAGCTCTCCTCCCACTCTCACCTTAATCTGTAGTTTTTCTGAATGTTTGAGCTTAACGTCACTGAAGAGCCTGAAAGACACAAAACAAAAGTAAATTGATAACTAATCTTTTAAAAAGCCTGAGCTGCTGATTCCAGTTTTGGCCAATACCTGTTATTTTTTTTTTTTTTTTGCCTGAAATGTTGCTAAATATACCAATAAAGTCCCTGAGTGGCAACAGTGGAACGACCATTTACTGTAAACATGCAGAGAAGACCGGGTCGGCCGGTCTGTCAGTCAAACCTCTCACTGCAGAGGTTGATTTTTAGACCTTTGCTGAGGTACAAAAGGTTGATAAGATCAGCTTCACATTTCAGTATCAGCGGATCACAAATCTCCTAAAATTAAGGAAATTGGTGCTGATAAATCGGTAAATATGAATGACTCTGGTGTCCTCCCTCTCCAGTTTCCTCCATGTCTACTGTCTCTTTAAAAGGGTGGATATTTATGCAAACATTTAACCTATAAACTGTTGGTTAACTTTCTCCTGGGCTTCCTGTGATCCACACCAAACAGCACAGTGACGACTGGCTATCCTTTAACTAGGCCAACTGACTGGTAAGAAGCTTGAAGACTCCTGTCATGCTGATTAGTGGACACAGTTTAGTTTGACAATTTCCTACAGTCAAATTAATCTTTTTATTTTGTCATCTCCTTTATTTTTATTTGACAGGATTCATTTAATTGTCTTCATTTTCCTGTAAGCCTGAACAACTGAGAATGAAACCAAACATTTCTTGTTGCACTTGGATGTCTGCAGCAGATCTGGACTCACGGAGTCTGGATGAGCGCCGGCACCGTCGGCATGCCGCTCTTGCAGGCGTCTGTGGACAGGATGGACTGCAGAACCGACACTGAACACAGACATGGAGTCAGACATGATGTGGAGCTGTTAGGACGTTTGATCCAGGTTAAAGTGGCGATACAGACCGACGGCGGCGTGGGGGGCGGACGGGAACTGGTCCACCGGGACGCTGTCCGGCGGCCGGCCGTACGTCATCTCGTACAGTAAATGCCCGAAGCAGAACACGTCGATGCTTTCTGCAGTCTGAAGGTGGAAACAGAAGGTGGTTTTGTGATCTGATCACAGCTTCATGCCCCCAAAATAAGCTTCAGAAATCTGCTGCTGTTTGTAGTTTTATTTTCGCTTCCTGTAAATAGTCTGTTTTTATTACTCAAATACACAGTTTTCATTGTTTTAATGGTATTTTTAATAACTTCACAATATTTTATGTTGTAATTTAACCTAACACTGCTGCATGTCATCCTAATTCTCTAATTATTATGTTTTTTATTTTTGTGTAAATCTATATCAGTCTTTCTCAAACTGTGGTCTGCAGGTGCTGCATGTTATTTGCAGTGAAGTGAGCTCAAAGTGCGACACGGACAGTTGGCTGCCCAGAGAACTGTGATTAAAAATAATAAGTGGCTAAAGAACGGGTCACTCAAAAAAAAAAAAAAAGAGTTAAACATAACGGTGGAAAGAAAACAACGGCAGGAATATTTGGAGGAATTCATGTCTGCAGGAATATTTTTCATTTTCTGAGTGAGTTGCAAAACTTTTGTTGTTTTCAGGACACTAGCAGGCTATCGACACGCAGATCTAGGTCTGCCTGGCTGCACTGCTGCGGCTGTGCTCAGTGCGATATGATGGTGAGCTGTGAGCAGGGCTGCGGCCCGCGCTGACTAACTGCATCTCAATGCCAAAAGTAAACAGAACGTTTAACGGGAACAGAAGTGGCCCACGGACGGAGCCTTGAGGGACCCCACAGGTGAGTGTGAAGGTCATTCTCACGTACATTGATCTTCCTCAGCTGCGTGAAGGCTGGCCTCAGGACAGAGGGAACTCCCAGCATGCCGTTCTCCACATCCACCAGCCGACACACGCCGTCGTCCACCATGACGTTGGAGGCGTGCAGATGGCCGAAGAACAGGCCGCTGTCGTGGAGCAGCTTCAGGCTCTGAACACAAACAGACAGACAGACAGACACATGGCTGCAGTGGCGGGCCGGCGTTTCGGGTCGGATGCATGCAGGCGTCATGTTTACCTCCAGGATCTGACGGCCGAACAGCTTGATCTGCTCCAGCTCCAGGCCCTGGCTCTTCTTGGGGTTGCAGTACTTCTTCAGGTGACTCTCTCTGGGTTTCACCTGGACACATCCAGATGTAGAGGAAGACTTATTTCAGGTTCATGTGGAGAGAAAACATCTGGATCACATCCATCTCTAACGCTTCAACCAGCCAGGATCCTATTCTACTCTGGGAGTCCGTCCTGAAAGCCACACAGTTGCTCCACAGGAAGCTCTAAAAGTGTCCGCAGTAGTTCCAGAAACCTGCCTTGTTTCATACCGAGCAGCGGACGAGGCGTTAAATTCTACCAGAAAATAACGGAGGAGAGGAAAACAGAAAAATCTAACTGTATTTTCATCTTATAACCTGTTCTTTATTTGGATTTAGCAGTTTGTTTTCATCAATATGGAACTGGAGATCGCTTCCAAAGCAGGAAGTGGACTACAGAGCAGGGAATTCTGGGTAAATGCAACCAAAACAAAAACGCTAGAGGGAGAAATGAGAGAAATGAACAGTACAACTTGAACAGGTTCAGATTGAACAGGTTCAGATTCGCATTGAACAGATTCACGTTGAACAGGTTCAGATTGAACAGGTTCATATTCACATTGAACAGATTCATGTTGAACAGGTTCAGATTCACATTGAACAGATTCATGTTGAACAGGTTCAGATTCACGTTGAACAGGTGCAGATTGAACAGGTTCAATAGGCAGTTTGGCCTCCAGAGTCCAGGCCCGAACCCCCAAAGAGTCACTGGAGGGTCTGGACCTTAAAGGTCCAACTTTCTCCACAGCAACCTGGAGAAACCGTAAACCGACTCTGGGTGGAAATAAATGTTTCGACGTTACAGAAATGTTTCGAACTGATCCAACAGAGAAAGTGTGTTTGAAAAAGCAGCTAAAGGAGGTCCGGCCAAATGTCAGAGAGGTACCGGTTCTGTTTCAGAGGCGGCGCATGCAGCTGGAGGCCCGTTACCTTGCAGATCTGGTCCCTGAGGGAGCCTCTTTCACTGAAGGGCCGGATGAGCAGAGCCGAAGACTCGCTGGTGCTGGAGAACAGCAGCGGACTCAGATACGCCGTCTGGAAAAGAACCGACCATGATTACCGTCTGGGCTGCTCAGAGTCACGGCCTTACCCAGAACCAACAGGACCAGAACCAGGAGGATGGAGGTCCAGACTGAAGTCTACACTGTCAGTGATCATATGGGTCATCTGCCGGTTCTGGTTCTGGTCCACTGGGTTCATGGAGATCCTGGTTTCATTTTCCACCAGGACTTGGTACTGACCCACATCAACCATTAAACGTTTGTGCTGCCATCATTTTAAAGATGTTAATAAATGTTTCCAGAGGTCATGAAAGGTCAACCAGCCCCTCTTCATCTTCAGACCAGAGAAAATTTGTGTCAATAAACTCAGCTATGCCTGTGGAAAAAACATTTTTGTTTCTGCTGCTTTTGCTTTGAAGACATTAATGAAAGCTTAAAGGTCAAAGGGTCAACCAGACCCCCAACAGAACCCAAATTAAACGAAACGTTTGACGGAATTGGTGTCAAAACTTTGCAAACGTTTGACACTAATTTCGTTTGAAAAACAAAATTGAACAAACAAAATCAGCACCAACAACAATTTTTGCTGCAGTTGATGGACCAAACTTTTGTTTTTGAAGAGGGTAGGGGGTTGACCTTTCATGACCTCTGGAAACATTTATTAATACCTTTAAACTGAAAAGAAAAAATTTGTTGCACAAACATTTGACACCAATTTTGTTAGATTTGAAGAACATGGGGGTTAACTACACTCCAAACAGAAATCGGGTCAGGATGAGTTCTGACCCGATTCGCTGCTGTGCTTATTAGCAGGACTCTGATGACTCTGCAGTTTCTGTGCTTACAGACGCAGTAAAAAAAAAGCAAAAGTAGGGAAACACTTCTCGCACCGCGGCTCATTCATCGACCCATTCTGTCAGAGGAAACGTCAGAAACAGTCGCAACGCAGCAGTTTTCACCATTTCCACATCAAATCCCTGATAACAGGAACTGGAGAACTGCAGAGTGAAAACAACTGAACAATGTCGAAGCAGATCAGAGAGCAGGGAGCTTACAGACGGGTTGGAGAGCAGCTTCAGGGCCGACTGCAGGTCTTTGTCTGAGAGGAACTTATCAGGACCCAGATCCACCTGCAGGCACAAAAACAGGAGGTCAAACAGAAAACCTGCTGCTGTTCCTCTGGTCATTGATTTAAGGGATTAACTTGTCACTTTGTCCGGTTTCAGAAAGAACACAGGATAAAGCTGAACTGCGTTTGTAGGATTTAAGTCAAGAATGGACAGAAACATCAGACCCAACCAGTCAGGAACCAGGAACGGAGCCGGTTCTGTCTGATTCACCCTGAACTAATCGGTACAGCGACTTTCAGCCAAGACAGAAGGAGGAAATCATCCAGTTAAAGGAAAAATGAGAGATTTTAAAGTTTCATAGAAGGTTTTACAGCGTTTGAGGGACAAATAAAAACAGGGATCAGCCTGATTGAATCCTGCTGCTGTTCGAAGCAACGCTCTACTGAGCCACATGCTTCAGGAGTCCTCCTTTGTCGCAGGTCAGAGTTCAAAGGGAACACCCGAAGAGTCGGGCGTCCTGCTTACCCAGCTCAGCAGGAAGCGCTCTTTGGGCTGCTCCTTATTTTTGACCAGGAAATATTTCTTCCTTATTCTCCATCCTGAAAAATTACAAAACAGATTTTAAAATCTTCCAGAATTAATTCAGTGTATTTAGTTAATATACCACCAACATTTGACCAAAAAAAGCAGATAATTAATTTTAAAACGCAGTTTTCCATGATTAAAGGCATTTTGAGTCACATTGGCTAAATCAGGAAGCAAAGGATGACGATGTGGCCCCTGTAATGGCACGAGTTCAGAAGATCGAATCTGTCGCTCTTCTGTAAAATTAACAACTACAATTTCCCAAAAATACAAAGTCGCTCATCTGTTCCTCTGCACTGTTTTTATTTTTCATATGTAAAATAGTCTGTTGTCTTTATAACGCACATAACATTGTTTTAAAATAAGGTCATCCTACTTAAATAAGGTCATCCTACTTGCACCCGAGTAAGACGTTTCTAATAACTGCACAGTATTTTTATGTTGTTTTTGTCTCCTTGTTGTAAAGTAAATAATTCTTAATGCTTTTTAATACATTTTTATTTATTTAACATGTTTTAATTTTTGTGTGCAGCTGTTACAGCTGAATTTCCCCAGGGTGGGAGAACAAAGGACATATTTTTATTCTCTAAACAGTTTCTGAACTCTAATCGGAGTGCTTGTGTCAGCGCCAGAGTTCATCAATCAAAATAAGAGAACATGGTTTCCAACGTTTTCCAGTTTCTCTGTGCTTTCTCTTATAGATGAGGTGATCATTTTAAATACAGCTGGACGATTTGGCTGAAAAACTTGTCATGATCTAAGAATTTAACATCAGTCGATATCGATGATTATTGATTACGTTTTTTTTATTTTAAATATTTGAAATGCTGCCAAACTGATGGCGTGACATTTCCCATTTTAGCCACAGTTTTCACTTCACAATGTTTATTTTTAAGCAATTTGAAGCAACAGACTCCAAATCTGAAACTGCTGATGCATAATTTACTCAACAGGTTGTTGCTAGGTAACCAAAGAGTGAGTGAGTTGCTCGGTAACCAAAGAGTGAGTGAGTTGCTAGGTAACCAAAGAGGGAGAGAGTTAGTAGATTCCACTAGCTTTGCTTAGCTGAACAGCTACAATGTTTATCAGGAGGACAGAAAACAGGATCCTCTCTGGTTTGTCTTGTATAATAATTTCACTTTTAGCTGGCATAAAACTCATGACACCAATGCACTTCCTGGCGTGAGAGGTCAGAGTGCAGCAGCAGTTAGCGCCATCAAAGCGATGCTTACCCATGTCTTTGAGGGGCTCCTGGACCTCCCACTTTGGGTCTGACCTGAAGAACATGGAGACTTGCTGCAGAGCAATTTCTAAGAGGCAGAAAGAGACAGACTGCATCAGCTAGAGTCTACATTCACTTCAGGATGGGATTAAATATCTGAGGAAATTCAGTAGCTCCTTAACCCCAGAAAACAGCAACCAGAAGTTAACCTGTGTAGTTGGCAGAGTAGTTGTTGGGGTCGAGGAACTTCTTGACAAACAGGGAAGTGCAGATCAGGGGATGCTGGGTAATGGAGTCCAGGTAGGCCTGCAGTCCCCTCTGCCGCTCTGCTATGAACTCTCTGTCCATGTTTCCGATCAGCTTCTTTGGAGGAAGCGGCAGACTGATTCCACACACCTGAAAGCAGGAAGTCATTCAGATCTGGAAACAAACACCCAGAGGTTTTCCTTCTTCCACAAGCTTTTTACTGAGATTTAAAGCTGCAGTATTTAACTTTTCTAAAAAAAAAATGTTTTTAACATATCGGTTAAAACTGTCACCATGTTGTGACTTGCTATGAGACAATCTGTGAAAATATAGATCTCCTCAATCTTCTCCCTGAGCTGATATGCCCATCTGAAGAAATTCAGGTCTTTGACCAAAATCAACCAATCAGAGCCAGGAGGCGGGTCTTAGCGCTGTCAATCAACTCATGAACACACTAAAGGTGGAGAAACAACTTATAGTCAAAGGAAAACCGTTTATCTGCCATCATTGGTGGCTATGCTAACTTAGCATAGCCTGAGCTATTTAGCATAGTGACAGTTTCAACAAATATGTAAAAGAATATATATTTTATAGAAATTACATCCTGCAGCTTGAACAAACACAGATCCCAAGACAAGCCGGTGCCACTCGGTGCTGGATGAAGACACCAGTTCAAAGTTAGGGCGATAACTCAGAACAGGAAATGAGCAGAAACACTGCCAGCTTCCTGTGATTGTGACCAAAAGACGGGACAAAGGTGGAGAGAAATGCTACAGAACTGGTCCAGTCCGAGTGTCTTACAGGACCCAGTTCCAGTTCATCCCCAGGTCTCTGTGTGTCTGGTTTTACTCCAACAAATAAGGGTTAAAAATCAGATAACTTAGACTTTGAAGTCTGTAGATTCAAAATATCCCTTTAGTATAAAATAATATGCCTGACGTAAGCAGACCGGGCCAGATACCAGGGTACGACTCGGTTCTACTAAGGTTTGGCTGCAAACCGTTACACTCAAACCTTTCCTGCATTTACAAGTCAGTAAGAAATATCTCTAATTTCAAACAAACACCGCTTATATAAAAAAAAATGTAAATACAGTAACCAGATTATAGGGCTGAACAATATGGCTGAAAAACATATCAGTCGATATCGATAATTATTTATCTTTTTTGTTTCAAATTTCTGACATTTTGCCAAACTGGAAGTATTTCAGTTTGGTTAGACATGACCTTTTCTCATTAATCCACAGTTTTTATTTCACACAGTTGTTTACTTTTAAGCAGCTAAGAGGCACGGTGGCAAAACCTGAAACTGCTGCTGCGCCGTTACTCAATAGGCTGTTGCTAGGTAACCAAAAAGCTAGTTGATCCCACCAACGTAGCTTAGCTACCCAGGAGAGGTTTAGCGGCTAAAGTTTTTCTTCTGCCTACATCTCCCAGAATGCTGTGCGGTTCTGGATCAGAGTTCAGTGAACATATTGAATATTCTATCAGATGTGTCATCTATTGATATTCATCACACATCTATTGCAATATCTATTATTGATTTATTGTTCAGCTCCAGATTAATAAATATTATTTTAGCAGCAGCAGCACTTAATAGGGAGCAGATATAAGTTTATACTCTTTTCTTCTCCTTTTCATTCATCATTTCTTATAGTTATATGAACTATTTATATTTATCTTTAAGTGAATGAATTTAAAAAATGACATGAACGCTTTTCTGGTTGAAATAAAAGCAGTAAGATAAGATTAGCTTTATTTGTTTACCTTACGTCACAAAAAAGGAAGCAAAATGAAAGATTATTTTATATACCAATAAGTTCACTAAATAAAGCAGGTTTATACTTACCTACCCTTTCATAGACAGCAGTCTACACAAATGAAAGATATCTAAACACATCACATATATACATCTACAAACCAGCATAAGATTTTATAATTTTACAATTTAAGGCTCTTAAAAAAACTCACCAAAAAGCACATAATTTGAGATTATTAAATGTATTCCCTAGTTTCACACCAATAAGTGAAGCATCTAGATTTCATTGTAATTTTCTGGTTCTGCACTTTGATTAAAAACATAATCTCAGAGCTAATATTTACCGGTTGGTGATTCTGCATATTCCTGAGCCGCAGCACAAATCAATCAACTTTAAAAAAATATGTCAAAGTTCAGATTTGGACGGATAAAACAGCAGAACTCAGACTCTGTTTAGCAGGATCAAGCAGGGGGTCCGAATGTCGCAATCAGCCGTCTATCAGCGACGCAGATTAGCCAAGACGAAGCTGTGGGAAAACCCAGACCAACGGACCTGGGAAGTTGCAGCTCAGGTTACTGCATGCTGTTCTTCTTCTTCCACGCGGCCATTTTACCACAAAACACTTCCTAGTGATTCATCAGGATTCGTTATTACACTGAGTCCTTGAAAACACACATTATGTTCAAATCAGGGTTAAAATAGTTTTGGGTTTGTTATTATAGTTTAGTTTCACTTTTTGTTTGTCTAATTTAGTTAGTTTTAGTCAGATTTTAGAGTGTGTTTGCTAGTTTTTATTAGTTAAATATTGTTTAGTTTTAGTTTAGATTTTATTGGTTATAGTAGTAGTTTTAGTTTTTCATACTTTGGTTAAGTTTTAGGTACATAATTTAAAAAGGTGTAAGTATTGTATTGTGACTATGTCTACATTGTTTGGGTGATAAATACTCAACAAAATAAACCATTTTGAAAAAAACAATTCTTAAACTATTATTGAACAACAAACTGACTTGGGTGGTTTTTGCTGTGGCCATTTTGGGGATTATCGCCAAGAGGAGAATGGAGAGCTAGCTCCAGCTAGTTAGCATAGCCTGAACTAGCCTGGGCTGGTTAGCATAGCTGTCATGACATGACAGTTCAATCACTATACAAAAAATATATTTCTTTATAAAAGTTACATATAGCAGCTTTAACCCAACAAACAGAATTAGAAACTCATAGCAGTTTATTAATGTTTCATCGCTAATGTAGCGTTTGTTTCTGTTAGCATGAAACTCACCATCAGGCTGCTGTTCAGGATGTCAAAGTCGCTGTAGCGGCGAATAACCTACAGAAAACACATTCTGTCAGCTTCAACTGACTTTTTCTCATCCCTTTCTTTTCTTAAAAATAAATTACAAATGACAGAAAATATTTTTCTGTTTCCATCATAACCTCAGAGACTCAACCTGAATTTAAAGGCTGTACATATGGACAAGCTGTGAAACAAGATGGCTGCCTTGGCATAACTCTAAACCACAGTGGTTGGAAAAAAATCCAGATTTTCCAAAAATGAACAAGAAATTTTAATAATCAATAAAATCAATTGTTTTAAGTACAAAACATTAACCTCTGTTTGGTCAAACAAACCTTGAAAAATAGATACTTTAATTATTAAAATATTTCCAGACAACCATGGCTATATCTGGTGTGTTTACCTGCCAGCTGTTGTCTGAAGACACGCCCCTCTGGACTCTGATGATGTACTCCTGAGAGACAAAGAAGACGTCAGGATTTCCTTTATTCAGTTCCAGTTCAACGTGCTAGCATCTTCCACTAGTTTAAAGTATTTATAATGAGCTGCTGTGATTGGTTGAACATAAACATTTAAACGTCATGACAAACAGAAAATATTTGGCATGTTTTATCATCCTTCATCATTTCAGAGGCAAAAAACATTTCATGAAAATATAATCAAATGAAAAAGCTTTCAGAGAAAGTACACCTTATAAATTAAAAACTATTTTACTCGTTATAAAAGTTGTAAATATGTGTAGTTGGGAGGAAATAGAAAAAAGGTAAAATAAAGAAATGCATCAAAACCTAAATTAGGTTATACTAATTCAGCTATGAGAGGAATAATCATAGCTGCGGTTATTCCTATTGCAATTTTTTTCCTTCCACGAATATGAAACATCAAAATATTTCAATTTCCTGAGAAGCTGAATTTTTGTTTTCATTCTCTTTAAGCCAGAATCATCAAAGTTATGAGAAATATTTCACTCTGTGTTACTAGAGAATATATGAGTTTCACTTGCTAAAAATGAATAAATATTTAACGTTTTAACTATGCGAAGGCATCTAATCTCAAAATATTAGTTAAATCAAGAATATGGTTTAGTTGATTTCGTTCATAATGACATTATTCTATCTTTTTTTATGTTAATCAATATTTATTATAAATTCACAACCTTTTAATAGTTTTTCAGGATTTGGTTCAACTTTAAATCTGCTGCTGGCTAGACTGTTTCAGACTTTAAGGCAATGATAACTCATTCCTAACGGTTGAACTGAATTTTGAATTGATTAATTTATTTCAAACTTTCCATCAAGAGAAAAATCGAAACAAAATAAATCTACATTTTCCTAAGTTTAATTGCAGCACCCTATTACCAACCTACATACACAATTAAAAGCAAATGCACCACTTATTTGGTTACTGTGTGACCGAAAGGGGGGATGAAAAAGTTGAACTCATTTAATCATAATAGTTTACAACATAATAATATTCTGATTTCTTGTTTCCCTTTACATTAAAAGTACTTCCTATGTAAACAGTACATGGGGAACATAGCTGGAAGCAGCTGCTCTGAGGCTCAACAGTCAGGCTTCTGTCGTAATGTTCTGGTCATTAGAATTACAGTAAAAGCGCTGACATCACTTCCTGTGAAGCTGCAGATTTACTGGAACAGACGAGCAGAACAGCACTGAGGTCGCCGCTGATTGGAAACCAGTTTAATGTTGGCTTCTACTGCTAGTTGAAGGACAATTTATCAATTTATCATGTCCACCAACCCAGCAGCTTTTACGTTTGGTACCTCCAGGCTCATCAGTAAAAAGGTTTCACATCAAGTCTAAGTCCATCCCCAGAGTCAGAATCTGTGCTGAACCAGTTGTCCTCCATCAGGGCCTCAGATAACAGCTTCATCCAGCCAACTTCATTTAAAAACACCAGTACAAACCAGTACTAACTGGTTTGATAACAAACCAACATTCTTATTGAAAAACCTGGTTCAACAGTTGAATGGCTTCCTAACAATGACCAGCTGCTTTTTGTCATTCTGTTGGACCTCAGCGCAGTTTTTACACTGCTGGTCATGACTGAAACAACTGGAGAGCTGAGGAGGACTCTCCGGTTCACAACTCAGTTGGTTCCAGTCTGACATAAAGAACAGGGATTTCTTTGTTTGTTTACTTTGTTTCAATGAGTAAATTTTCACTGATGCAGAGAGTAATCACATACGAGGTACCACAAGGTCCTATCCTAGGAACTTGCTATTTAATATCTATATTTTCCCACTAGCTCAGATTATAACAGGAAATAAGATTAATTACTATAACTGATGATATACAGCTCTACATTATGATGTCACCATGTGACTCAGAACCATCCGATCACTGAATACATGCTTAGATCAGATAAAAACAGATAAACTTTCTCCACCTGAACAGAAAGAAACAGAACTGAAGTTATTATCTTTGGACTAAAAGAGGAGTGATATAGAGTCAATGCACAGCTTCAGTTATTACAGCAGGAAACTAGAGACAGTTATAAAGTTGGCCTTCTACCTCCTGAAGAACATTTACAAGATTAAAGGACTAATGTTTCAGCAAGATCTAGAGAAACTCATCCACATATTAACCTTTAGTCGTATTTATTACTGCAGTAGTGTCTTCACATGACTGAATAAAAAAGTCCTCCAGCTGCAGCTGATCCAGAACGCTGCTGCTGGCGTTCTGACTAAAACCAGGAAGGTCGAGCACATCACCCAGTTCTAAAGTCCTTCCACTGAGAGAAGAGACTTTAAATACTGTTGGTAGTTTACAAATCATTGAACGGCTCAGCACCACAATACATTAAAGATCTGCCTTATTACCCTTCCAGATCTCTCAGGTCTTCTGGTTCTGCTCTGCATCCCCAGAACCAGAACCATACCTGGAGAAGCAGCATTCAGCTTCTATCCACCACAAACATGGAACAAACTTCTAGAAAACTGCAAAACAGCTGAAACATTGACTTCCTTTAAATCACAACTAAAAACCCAGCTGCTTAGAACTGCTTCCTAAACATTTTAAATTAAACCTTAATCAATATATTTGATGTGAAACTGTGTGTTCTATAACTTAGATTTTTTTTTGTATTTTTATGATGTAAAGCACTTTGAACTGCCTTGTTGCTGTAATGTGCTGTACAAATAAACTTGATTGATTGATTGATTGATTAAACATTGATTAAGAACAACAGAGAAATAATTCAACATTTAGTGCTGGTCCATCGCCACACTTCCATATGGAGTGGATTTCCACTCCTTTTCTCTCCTAGATAAGCTACTCCCTAAAGAGGGCACTCTTCTGTGACGTCATTTCCTTTCCCTTATGTGTGTAAGTATGTGCGTGCATGTACACGAGTGTGTATGCATGTGAGCATGCAGCAGCTAGGAGAGATGCTGGTGGATCATTTCCAAATTAAACGTGTTTTATTGTGTGTTGCTGAAGTAGTCTGGTGTTTTACTGAACAGAGCTGAACATTCAGTGTCAGGGTAAACCTTTAATGCTGACAGCATCTGCAGAGAACCGGCGGAAACAGAGCCACCCCAAGGCACATGAGCCCCCACACAACCCCCAAGAGAACCAAATTAGAATTATGCTTTTTTTAAAATAACACTGAGTAATACAAAACTAAATGCTACTACACAATATTTTTTATACATTTTTATAGTCGGTACACAAATAATAGGCTAAACTCTTATTGTTGTTGGCTGATATCTGTGTTGGAGAAATATAAGATATTAAACTTCTTAACTTGTTTACTGTAAATTCAGTGTTTTTCTGTAAATGTTACGTTCCAATAGTTAAAATAAAACGACACACTTAAATATCACCCTGCATCTCAAAATCCAATTTTTATTTATTTTTTTGTTGCTAAATGGGCCCTCAAATGAAAATATGCATCGGGCCCCAAAAAGGCTTTGACCGGGTCTGGATGGAAATTAAAGACAGGAATAGTCTCTGCAGATTTCACTGGTAGAAAGGTCCAGTAACGATGATCATACCGAGGAGAGAGCAGAGGTTCTGATTCTTTTATGGAGGGCTGGCCTGACATCGGCATGCTGAGCCAACTCAGCTGATCCCCGCCAGAGTGTCAACAACGCACAGCACCTTAGGCCTATTATCGGACACGGGGTCCCGTCCTGTTTCGTTCTCCTTCATCTCCAGAGCAAATCAGCAGGTAAGTATCTAGGAAGTTGCCCAGTCAGACCGTCCGAAAATAGAGTCCAAGAGTATATCTGGTGGTTCTAATGAAGTTCTGACGACTGTAATTACGCTTTAAAGTTGTAAACTGGGTTTTTACAGCTGCGTTTAATCTTGAGGTCAGTTTGAGATCAAATCGCTCGGTTACAGACACACAGTGGAGTCCGATAGTTGACCCAGCAACCACTCCTCTCTTGAGAAGTTCTTCAGATTTGTAGAAACACAGAAGCGGGGCCCCAGATGCGTCTCTGACCGACGCCAAACGCTGCTGGCGGGCCAGTCCAGGTAAGCACTCACCGTGTGGGACTGAAGGTTCTGGCTGGCTTCGATCAACGCCGTCAGTGGCAACGTGTCGTCCAGCAACACCCTGCCGGGGGTCGGGGACTTCTCCAGGAGAGACATCCCGGATGGATAACAGTGGAAGCGGGAACCAAAGCGTTTGTCTGTCGGTGACACCGAGGCGGAACTCCGCTGTGCGCCGGAGGAGTTCCAACAGCCAGCTATCAGTTAGCCAAACTGTTAGCCACTAGAAGTCAATGCTGTGGCACAGCGACAGCACCACCTGTTGGTCTGGAGGAAAAGTATCAATAACAGTCTTCTTTTTCCTCCTTCTCCTTCAGATTTATTGGCGATTGGCAAAAAAAACGTTAAGTGTGCATTACTGCCACCAACCGGTAAGGAGTGTGGACAGCATGACAAGAAAAAAACCCTTTTATGTCCTAATAAACAACTTGAACTGCTTCAAAAAATCAAATATAGCCTGCTATCCTCTGCTTCCTGAATCTTTTGCAATAAATCAACAATGTCAAATTTCATTTTCATATTACTAGGGTTCGTAATTAATTTTTTTCTCTGAATCCGGTAATTCCTACAATACAAAATAGCATGCTCTATTGTCTTGTCTTCCACATAATCACATTGCCCTGTGTGATGTTTCCCTATCAAAATTAATGAACTACTGAGTCCAGTATGTCCAATTTTGTAGGTGAAAATAATGATCTTTTATCTCCTGTTTATTTTTGTTCTCATTTCCACAATTCTCTTTTGGATTTTATAAAACCACCGTCCTTTCGTTTCTTCTACCCATAACATTTTCATTTTTTGTTTAATTATACCCTTTATTTCTGTTATAATAAAACTAACGATATCTATCCATCGCAGACTGGTACTCTCTGTAGCCATCGTATCTGCCGTTTCATAGCCCTTAACCCCTTGATGTGCTGCGTGGTGCAATTAATGCTGAAGTCAGCGCTTCATCTCCCTTACTGGCCAATTCAAATCTAAGGTGTTACGAACATCAACACATATAAAAGGCCAAAAAATTAAATATTATGCATGTTGATTTTGAAAA